TTTTTTACTACATTTTGCATAGTACAGCCCCATATTACGCATGGTTCCATCCCCTTCCCCGTTTGAGAGGAGCCCGCCAAACTGCCGAGATCAACAACACTGGGAAGTCAGGTGTGGATTGACCGAGAAATGAAAATAAAAACTGGCTCTAAACCATATTAAAGGTTTTAATCGTAACCATCGAGGCTGAGCAATTTAGACATTCCTGGTCTAAATGCTTTGTGAATTGTATTAAATTTTGTAAAAATAAACTACACGTTTTGGAGTAACATTTTGAATCACAGCTCCACTATTTATTTCCGGTCGCTCAAAAATATTCGAACGTAATCTGAAAGCAATTGTTCCAATGATTCAATAGTTTTTTTGTGGAACAGACTGTAAACGCCTACAAACTACCCCAATACACATGTCACAACCCTGAACCCTCAATTTCAGCAACCAAAATTTCGGCAGAGAGCACAAAGTCAAAGATGTTCAACACATCCAGCAAGTTTCTGGCAATTGTTCTAAATCTAATCGGAGACATTCCAGTCACTGAGTACGTGTTGCCACCGTTTGTTATATTGTCAAACCACCGTTGTGATACCGCAAGATTATCTTTTTTAAATTTATTTCTATCTGCTCCACCTAATGGTTATACTGAGGTGTGAATGTATACGAAATAATTCATGAGAAATTTCCTAAGTTGATTGAGTTTCGTACTCGGACGTTAAAAATCGAAAATATTTTAATTGTTTTATAGCGTTGTATTATTTGTTTAAGAAATTGTGAAGGTGTGGGGAGAGTGTTAAAGTGACTGTTGAGGTGTCATGTGGAGAGATTTGAATCAAGGAGGTGAAGAAACATCTTTGGGGAAACGAACTTTTATTGTTAGAAATATTGGCTTATTGACCGATGTGAAAGAAAATATTAAAATCAAATCAAGCTGTGTTTCATGAAGCAGTAACCCGACAGGCGTCGCCTGCTGCTCAGCATCCCTGCAACTCTCCCAAGCGGCCGACCGGCCGTTGAGGGGGGGGGTGCGCCTTTAGCAGGGAGCGCCTCCTGTGATGTGGCCGCGCGTAGCTCCCCTGCCCGCGCGCTCATAGCGCACACACATTAACATGCGCCGATGGCGGGGCGCCCGCCAGAGTCAATTTATGCATATGAATGAGACGCATTCAATATTCCAGATATTTGTTTTTGAGGGGAGCCGCAGCCCGCGACGTCGCCCCGGTGCAGCTCCTCGGCGCCCTTTCCGGCCCCCGCGCCTCTCATTTACCAGCTCTCGGGGTTCCCCAAGGTCCAACGTCGTGGCGACGCTTCCCGCTCGCGCCCTTTGGCCCTCCTCTCCTTAAAAAAGGTTGAACTTCTCGTACAATGGCTCAAAGCTGATGGTTTTCGTGGCTTCATATCGTGGTCGGGATAATTCACTGCCAACGACTTTTATCGTAAGAGGTGCCTTAGAAAGAACGTGAAAACAGAAGTCGATATTTCACGGGGGAAGTACTAAGTTCATTACATCAATAAATAAACCTCGGAGCTATTCACTGGGAATTGCGGTTGACGTTTGGTGGTCGCCTTCTTTGAAAAGTCAGAAGAATTCCGTTTAGCCTGCATCACGCGTTACGCGAATGTTTTCTCAGGAATACTGCAGAACTGCGAAGTTGCAGGGGAGCTCTACAACTTTGCAGCCGGGTTTTCAAATAACTCACCGACCTGAAGCCTTTTGTCCTTTTTGCCCTATTTGTCCTCTTTATCATTTTTGCCATGTTTGCCTTTTTACCTTTTTTTGTCCTTCCGGTCAGGTGAAAGTATTTTATTTTGTTTGTTACATTCACAGATTTATCAGGACATTTTAGCATCGTCTTACTTTTAGCACTAGTGCTAACATTTACTTTTATTACGCTAGGCATACCCTGAAAGAGCGGCATTTAATAGTGGATGTCTAAAAAAAATTTATCATTTCTGTGTTTGAGTTCCATGCAACCATGAAATTTAATTTTTGGCCGTCGGTGTACTTTAAAACTTCCTCTCCCTCTAGAAAAACGTTTGATGACCCCTGATCTAGACAGGTCGGATCGTGTAACCCATGATTGGCGCGATCACCCACAGTATGAGAAATAAACGTACCTCTAAGGTTATCAAATCGACTTAGAATTTATTTTCACTTAAAAACAAAGTACTTATTTAATTACATGTGGAATAGCAAGGGAAGGGTGAAAAAATAACAAACATCTAGGACAATTATAAACCGGTGAAAATGAATATTTTTCAAAAGAAGAAAAAATAGAAAAGAAAGAAAGATTGATTTTGGGATTCTTGAAATAAAGCAATACTGTATTTGTAATTACAAAATATTATTAAACTAATGTATTACATTGTAGTGACTAATATTTGTTGTATTACATGAAACGTTCATAAAATTTAGGATTTTCAAAAATGTCTTCATTGTTGATATATTCAATGCGATACGATTATAAGAGGAAAGTACACAAACCTGTACCCCCATTTTGTTCCCAAGTGTTTTCAAACCCAATTTTTTCAGAGTAAATCAAAATATATGCAATGCATACGTTACTTAGTTATACAAATTTTATATTTATCTTAAAATTATTCGCCAAGGAGTTTAAGAATAAAATATTTTTTCTTAAAAATGACATTTTTTGTGGACATTTAAGAAAGGTTTCCTAATGTGTCACCATAAACGTTTTAAGAAATGGGTAAAACAAGTAAAACATATTAAATCGCCATATACCAATAGCTAGTAATGCCCCATTCAAAATAATGTAATAGTTGGAAGACTTAACAATAAATATCGAAATCAGATAACTGAGAATAAGCACTTGAAAAAAAAATTTCTGTCCACATGAATGATTCGGTTGCCTTGCCCGGTTGCCTGGCAACTAGTGAAGACGAGGACACTACCACTTGACTGGGCTGCGGTCTTGCAAAGACCTATTTTAGTACGATTCCAATATGCAACAGCACTGTACAGATCAGTAAATCAAGGGGCTTGCTTTATGAACCGCGCCCGTGTCTGGGTACTTTCCTCTACCGAAGATTAACTTTCAAAAAAATGTTCGAAGCGTTAAGTCTCTATTTAAAGCAATATTTAGATGCTTTGGCAGCATATAATTTTCAAGCCTCCGGCTCAATCCTTTTCTTCATAAATAATTCTACAATGAGTCAGACAGAAATTAGAATATAACTTCCTTTATTTAGATATTTAAATTAGAATATTATAAATAAATTATACATAAATAAACAAATCACAATAGTGGTTGCAGGTTTTTATTACCAAGGCTCGGATTCTAATGACCTAAATATTCTATGAAAATGACCTCTAAAATGACTTAAAAATAAGGAGGATGTGAATTATTTTTTTTAAATAAGCAAAACATTTGTATAAAAATGTTTTCATGAATTTACTTTATTCAATGAGTTTTACAATAAAGAAATATTAATATAAAATTATATTTAATATAGTCTTTATTTTAGGAAGAAATGTCATCCTTAACTCCGTCCTCCAACCGTCAGTTTTAAATGGCCGAGGAAGTTACCAAAGATCTATGTAATGTTAAGAGTTCCATAAAGAGAGTGCCCTGTAGTTGTGAATTACGTCATGAATTAATGATACAAATAAAATTTTGTTTTAGGGTGTCATTAATGTTCGTAAAACTCTCACAAAAAACGCAAAAAGGAAACCAAATGCGTAAAAATTGCAAAAAGTACGCAAAGGTAAAAAAGACGCAAAATATAAAAATTCGCAAACAAATGATAAAAAAAGACCCAACGTTTGTATTACCTAGTACCTATAAGTCGTTGTCAACATTCATTTACAAGTTAGCTACATCTAGAATGCAGCAATGAAAAGATGACTTGTCATCAGAATCCGAGCTCTGCTTATTACTATTCTTCAAACTTACGTACTTTAAATATTTAAATACTTTTTCTTATTAAATCCATTTTTGGTACATCACATTTGAAATATTTAAAAATAAAGCCATTTATTTACATCATCAAATACAGTTTCGTTTCCTTTCACAGCACTACGCGTTGACGACAATGATGTCTGTTTTCGAATCTTTAAAATTACGTGAAACGTTGCTAGATGTTACGTTGTCAACTCGAATTGCTTAAAAATCAGCAACACCACTACCAACTTATGAAAACATTTATTCTACTACGTCATACGTTTTGATACTACCCACACTTGAAGTTATTTATTAACAATGTAATAGTGATCAATGAACAAACAAATTGTACACATGTCGGCAAGCAATAAATATTTTTGGTATTTTTGTCACTTGCAACTTCTCTACACTTCACATCCCTTGATACATAGCTCACCCAAATGCAGTTGCTTTTAAGTATTGATACACAACTAATCATTAATTACAGTATCCAATGCTTTATCTATTATATCCGTAATTTGGTATTTTAGCTTACTTTACTTACTAAATGTGAGTGTACAATGACTACTAACTCATAATGATTACGATAAACTTAATTTGCTCACAGGCTCATTGGAGCGAAGTGATGGTAATACACTACTGCCCAGTTTGTATTAGACGTTTTAGTTTCATAAATCTTTTTTTATTTAACTTCAATTTCTCGAAAAAAATCACATAATTCACATAAGTGATTTGACTCAATAATTTTACGAGAGCAGCAGATTCTCGTGGTATGTATCTATTAACAATTATTCATAAAATAAGAAGCTGAAACGTAATTTTTCAAATGCTTTGGAATCCTTACGTTTCAACTGTAGGCTCTACTATATGAAACTCAATTTACTTCGAACTAGATAATTAGCTCAACATTACTGGGCCATCTTTACTCTTAATATCTTACACAATCAGACTCTTTCTCGAATAACAAAACAGGTATTCAACTTGTTACGTTACGGTATATTATGTATTAGTCTATACCTGCCCTTAACCATCATTATTTCAATTAATACCATTATTGGTATTGTTTATATATGATAAGTGATACTGATAGCTAACCAACTACGAAAATTTGGTTACCACCATAATCATGCGCTTTGTCTGGTAACTTTTACGGAAATAATCATTTAAATGTTAAGATAAATCCACATCAACAGTATTTAAATTGTGTGGCTGTTCAATACAAATTAATTTATTTTTATATTAGTAATATTATTTTGAAATAATAAGTTTCCTAATATTGAGAAAAGTTAGAAGTGCTCACGCGCATTTCGAATAAAAAGAAATGTGTTTTTAAGCTTCGAAATTACTTGATTTTTTAGAATACAATAGATCTATTGCATTTACGAAAATAATCATAATAAATAATGATATTTATAAGTACAAAAAATATTCCAATAATTTCTATTGGAGGGAGAAATTTGTTTTTCATGTCAAACAAATATTTTCTCCTATGATATGTGTACTCCATCAGAAGTATTTTCGTGGAATCCTTGGAATAAGAACACTAAATACTTATATTTAGAAAATTTAGATTTGGCAAGTAAGATTTAGATTCGTAAGATAACAAAACAACGTAAGGAAACTACCAGACACCGAATATCATCATTGAGTGAACTCTCAAATCGTCTACAGCGGTGACGTACCGAAAAATGCAGTTTTAAAAGTTCGGATTCTGTGGTTTGCATGCAGAAGTGGTTCGTGGATAAGAAGGTTCTAGAGAGTATTATTTCAACTCCAGGCGACAGAACTCTGAGCATCTCACCAACGAATTTGCTCATGCAGATGATATATTATGAATTGAAACTACAAGATTTCAATTTGTTTCCGAAGTCTAGAAAAAACTTTGAAACTCGAAGAGACCAAATATTCTTCATGTTATGAAAAAACGGAACTCCATAGAGCAGACAAGGCCAGTTTTTGAAGAAAAATCATTGTAGAATTCTTGTTTACGTACACTTGTCTGTACGGACGTTAGAAGAGAAATCTGATGCAACTAAAACACATTTTAATGTGCACTTCTCCCGAACGCTTAAATACATTTATACATTTCTAATTTATTTTGTTTTTATTTCCAAATATTCAAGATTGTTTATGATTAAGGCAACAAAACATCTGCATTCATTAATATTATACTCCAGTCACGTCGTCGTAAGGAACCTCTATATATGGGAAAGGATAGTCAGTCATATTGGTTGATTTGCAGTTGAATGCTTTGTAGAAGGCTGCGTTGTTCTTCAACATATTTTTGACCCTGGAATCAAAGGAGAAAATTATATTTTTGACTACTGATCGGAACATGAAGATAATCGACTGCCTAAGAGCAACAATGACTTATCAACTTCAAACATATCAATGACTCGGCGAACACCAAAGAAAATTCTGCCATTTTATATCAAAGTTTCAGAAAGCACAAATTTACTTATTACAAAAGAGTGGCATTTCGATAAATACTCACTAAAATTATACTTTTAACATACGATAATAAGAAAATAAATGTATTTGAGAATCTGCTTTTATCATTGTGTCTTACCGTGTTTCCGGTGGGAAAAATGGCGATTCAAAAAAGTCTAGCACCATAGAAAAGTAGTCCAATTTGGTGCAAAATTTCTGGAAATAAATACACATTTATGACATCATTATCAATAGTCATGATTTATGACATCATTAATAAACGCACATTTATGATTGCCAGGTGCCCACTATTTTCAGCGGACAGTCCGCTTTTTTCACATTATGTTCACTACTTTTTTTCACAAAATAGAGGATTTTTTTCCTATTGCTTTATGATGAAATGTTACATAATCTAAAAATGTATAGTCTAAGAAATTAGGATAGAAGAATCACGGTTTTGTCTTTTTTCCCATAAGTTAGAATAAGACAAAGATCGAATGTCCATTTTTATTCCATCCGATTATTTTAATACGAGTTAAAATGTTAGTAAGAAAATATATAATTTAATTATTTTTACCACTTAATCCTCCCCCCGCTTGTCCGCTATTTTTTGGAAGCAGACTTGGCAATCCTACACACAGTAAATTACTAACCAAACAAATTCCTGAGTCTAGAGCATTCTGTCATACTTCTCAAAATAAAGAAAGAGAGTGGAATTTATAAATCTTAATACTATATAGTAATAACACAATACATAGTCATTTATAACACAGTGGTGAAAGTGACATTTTATTTTGCGAGTAGGTAACGTTGCGACACGAGACCGATTAGCCGAGCGGCGCAATCACACGAGAAACAAAATCTCTTTTACACAGTGGCGACTCCTTGGAGTAGGCAAAGTAGGCACTGCCTACCTTGATAAATTTGAATACATTTCATAATAATAATAAAAATTAAATGACTCTCGTGGCGCGAGCCATATTTCTATTTCAATCGTTTTCCAACAGCCCCTCCGCTTTGCGAGCTCTTTCCGGGGTGACACGTCCGCCTGCACTTTTCAGGGTAGGCACGCCCACGAGCTGCCTCGCTTCACATCGTGGAGAGAAGAGGCCTTGTAGTGAGCGTCGAGCGGTTGCATGCTGCGTCCATACGTCCATGCGTCCTTGCATGCGCGTAGTGCCTAGGCCAGCCAACTCTTTTGCAGCCTGCCCGCGCGAAAGACTCCCATTTCCACTCACTTGTAAGCTGCGTAGCACGTTTGTTTACTGTTCTGTTAACGAGTTAACTAGTGAAGAAAGTGATTATTATTTGGAAAGTATTTTTTTTCGTTTTAAATTAGTATGCTGTGGATTATTACTGTTACTTGATTTTTTATTATTAAATCTGATGTTACGTTAATATTATGAGAGATACAATTAATGAATGACTACGCACACCCTTTTCTCGTCTTTACGACATAGAAAAGAGAAAAACTTTTGACAATGATCGACCTACTCCTATGTGTATGGTGACAAAAATGCAATCTTCGTGGTATGACTTACACAAATGGCTAACAGGAAGTGAAGTTAAAGCTAAGCTTTATTGTTGGCCTTGTCTTTTGTGGTCAATTAAGGAGAGAACTTGGAATAGAAATGGATATTTTGACATGGGTTCAAAGCTGACTAGGACCTTGATGGGATAAGACGATGCCCATACGTTTATAACGTTAAATACCACAGACTCCACCCTCTGTAATGGGTACCCCGACAGAAGAGCGACTGAGAAGAGCAGTCAAGATTGTGGTAGTCTCTCTCTCCTCCTCGTAGTGAGCTCTTAATACTCTCTGAGGTTAACATTTGGCAGTAGTCAATGGGAAAAGGGAGAAGGCGGGTCTCCGGCGCCTTAAAACAGGAGCATTTGGGCTAAGGGACCTTATAGCAAACCAAGGGGGGAGGGGCTTCCTGGGGTGTAGTGAAACAAACTTCCCTAGGGGAAGAACACCTCAATTACAAATCCGGTTCTCCAGGGCTGGGAGAATCAGGAGAGCTCCTCTTTTCTCAGAAAAACACATACCAATGCTAAAATACCTAATCAAAGAACAAAGACTTATAAACGACGGCAAATCAATCGAAAAAGGACAATGCAATTTGGATCACAAGAATGTGCAAGATATTAACACAAAATATCTTCAAAGCGTTAAGCAGATTACATCTGGATGAGGCAGTACTCACTGAAACAAAAGAGAAAGGTCAGGGAAGTGAAATCCAAGAACAATGTATTAATTTCTGTAGTGGGGTAGATAAAAATATGGGAGCAAAATATGGTGTTTCTATCGCAGTTCATTACAAGTATAAAAAGTACATTATAAATTGGGTATCCATTTTTTCCAGAATAGTAAAAGTGGAAATGGAATTTTGTTGTCTACATGTAGTAACTGTGGGAGTGTACGCCCCAATTGATGATGCTAATGTACAACTTAATGATGATTTTATGCAGTAATTGAGAAAGGCATTAAGTGAAATTAGTGACCGGAAATACATTTTTATTATGGGTGACTTTAATGCACGAATTGATAAAAAAAGTAGGGGATAAGATAGTGGGGTCTCATGAGGAGTATATTCGTAATGATTACGGAGAACTTATTAAAATCCGTAATCAGTTCCCTCTCTAAATAACAAGTGGATTCTTTCCACGTCTATATAGACAAGAAAACATGGTTTCAACCAAGAAGAAACGTATCATCAATTGTCGACTACATGGTAGTAAAGCAGTAAACGAAGACTAAAATTCTAGATACAATAGTGTATAGGGGAGCGGATTCTGGCTCTGATCACTTACTATTAAGATCCTCTGTCCTATTTAAATATGTAAATGAAGATTGTATTCAAGAAAATAGTATCCCCAACAGAATGTGTTTAATGTATGTAAGCTTCAGAATTCTTCAACAAGGTTTAAATTCCAATTATACGTAGCTGAAGGTATTAGTACCAGGACAGTGGAAAATGATAGACCAATGTATTAAAATCTTAAATGCATTATAAATATTTCTGAAAACAGGTTCAATCCACTCGTCTAACTGAATCAGCACCATACTAAAATCCAAACAATCATGGAGCGACGTAACAGCATACGCAAGGGAAGTCCTACAACAAAAGAGGAAAGATGACCGCATGACTACTAAGTACGCGACATAGAAACAGAAGCCACACATCGAAAACTGACAATCAGACAAGTTAGGACAAGGCTCAAAAGAGAGCCAAATTAATGAATCCGCCTGAAGGAATGTTAAACAAGCGTACCGGGGCGGAAACTAGAATAGGATTACGAGGTCGTGGATTTTTGTGGGTGCAAGCATCATATGACACAAGAGCATCGACTCTTCGAGTGTCTGCTAGAGATTTTCCTCAGTATCTTCACCAAGAAACTACTAGTACGACTACTACTATTATTTTGACATGCAAATTTTAACAAAAGCTACACAAAATCATAAAATTTCAAAATATGACGCATGGAATTCAATGATTCTAAACGCCGATTTCTGAATTATTGTCACATTAACACAAACTCGGAATAAATTTTTACAATCTCAATATCTGGAAATCTGCGCGTGCTTCATGGAAATAATGCTCTGAAGTGTAATGTCATCACTCAGATAATTTTTTCAATAAATTGAATAAAACTACAAAAAATGGATTAAGGTAGGGTTTGGCCACCATGCCCCCTTTCTGGGATCTGCCGCTGATTAGTAACCTGTTTTGAGTACCCTGAACATTTGTTCATGAACCGCCACTGCTTTTACATTCTCATCCACAATACAGAAGAGAGCAGTTGGGTTGCAAGTGCACCATCTCACCTGATTAGTGCAGAGAAACGATAAAAACATGCAAATAAAATATTGATATAAACGTACTTACCTGAGCCAAAAATACGAAGAAACTTTGGTCGTTTGTTAGTGGCAGGTATGGCAATACGATATCTGTTTTAGTCTCTTTTTTCTTGAATGCTTTATAAGCTAATTGAATAGCTATCGTGTCTGCAAAATATTCCTTCTCTTTCAGCTCTGTATCTTCAAACTAATCAGGAAAAAAATCGTTAAATATTTCTTCGAATTTGTTTGGTTTTATTTAAGATTCACTTGAGTTTTTAAACAGAACACTAGATTTACAAAATTTATAAATTAGAAAGAAAGAAGTAGAGTGTCAGTTGTGTCACAAAATTAAAGAAATGTTACAGAAATTACCAAGGAAGAAAGATTATTAAAGAGAGTTAAACCAATAATTAAAGATATCTTACCACAACACCTATATAGTTAAACCAATACCAGAAAGACACATGTACAAGAGGACATTCATTAAGACAATTGCTTCGTGGTGCATTTTTGTAACAGGATATAATGAACATTGACAATCTTGGTGGCGTGAGGGTGAGGGAGGAGTGACCTCGGGTTCGCCGGCCGAAATAAGAGGGGCCCCAAACGGCCGCGCCAGCGATTTCAACGTGTGGTAGCGTGCACGGGGCCTGGGCGTCGAGCTCGAGAGGGGCTGGCACTTGGTAGGGCTGCGGGATGCTGCAGGGTCCTGTAGAGAATTGCGCACCTCTACCGCTGTTGGCAGCAGTGCACAGGCGAAGGCGCGCTACGCGACAAGCGGCATCTGGACGCCTCGATGCTCAACGAAGACGGATAACCGACCGATCGCCCGCCCGCGCGAACGCAACCAACGACAGCGATCGGTGCAATTCAGCGGGCTTTGTTGTCTGCTCTGACACGTCCTGTAATCGCCAGTGCCTTGCTCCTGGACTCGCCTCATGTACACAGATAGGTAACCTGTCACCGCCCCTCACTCCCCAGCAGTGTCGCTACACCATCCTTCGGTGTCGAGGGTAAATAGCTGTCTGGAGGTTACTAGACATTTACTGGAGGTAAATAGCTACCAAGCCCCACCGGTCACAAAGCGACACCAACGCCCCACCAGTCTGGTGCGATGGTGTGGGGCGCGACGTCCTAGGCTGACCGTTCACCCATAGTGCTACTCGCAGCAACCACGCCAGCCGCACGGTCCGTTCACTTTTGCAACCGCTGGCTCCGATTGCCAGAGCTCCGTCGCCCACGCCCTATGTACACAAGACGATGCCCGCCCTCATG